TAACTCTTTTTCATTATAGACTTCCATATAGAGCCTGGATTGGTACTTTTAGACATACAGGAGTAGGTTATATTCTCTATGCCGAGTAGCCTTCTATAGTCATTCCACTGGTGCCAGAGGTGCTTCCAATTCTAGTTAAGATATAATTCTTTACTACAGCCCATAGTTGTATATCATCGCTTCTCTCACTACTTCAGTTTTGGTAGTATAGTATTACCCTTTCAAGCAAGTACCCAACACCATTCCACATTAGGACTTATACGCATGATTCATTAATCATCTTTCTAAGCAAGTACGCTACAAGTTGGGTGTAGAGATGTTGGTATTGCTGAATATGGAGGTGATAGGATGTTGGTATTGCCTCTGAGTCACTCCAACCAGAGGACTTACACACGATCTTCTACTATCTAGATCTTCTGTGATACCACTATTACACGTAATGCCTTTACTCTACAACCTGGTCTCCTTCTGAGAACTTCTTATTCTGGTTTTGTACTGTACTTGGACTTTCCACAGGGCTTCGCATCTGATTATAGCACCTGTAGATTACAGAAACAAATTATTTAATTTGCCTCCAGCCTGACTTAAACCGTTGATTTTGTCTGTGGGGTTTGGGATCTTAACCAATAAGCTATGGGATCCAAACCCCAGTTTGATTCTTAATATCAGTAACTTTTAGAATATGGTAGTATTTCTTAAAATCTTTTGTCGACACTATCAGCAATAAGACAGTATAAACTAAATAGATATTTGATATAGTTAATTGATAAACAGAAATATTTTGAACCAAAAAAGAATAAAAATAAATAAATAATACTCACTTGTTTTTATAATTCAGGACCCGTTTAGATTATCTTAAAATAAAAATTATTGCGCAGATAATTTTGATTATTTTGATTATGCTGAATACCATCACAAGTCTGTTTATATTTATGCAAAAAATGATAGTATGCTGATGGTTAACCATCGAGATAGTGAAAATGCACCTCTACTAAAGGTTATTTTCATGCTAAAGTCAAAATTATGCACATTCTAATGTTGGGTACATTTTTTTCAGATCATCAAACCAATCAAAAATAAAAAATGCATAAACCTTGCTATTATTTGCTTAGTATGTGATAATCACCTTAACCAATGCAAATATGATACTGTCAGAATCGCTAATCTCTTTTAATTCTACTACATCCCCAACTCGAACCTTAATGTAACAATTGGCTTTATTATCCTCTGTTAAAAACTCATTATTGTCCTTCACAACAATATAACTAATATGCTCAAAAAACGAAACCTTATACATATTTAAAGTAGCAAGCATTCCAAATTTTTTACAATAAGCTTTATATAGATCTAAGTCAAGGTTGTTGTTGTTAATATTAAGGTTCTAATCATTAAAGCCTCTCTTTTGAATCTCTTTATTACTCCAAGGCTTTCGAGTACGAATTTTTATAAAATGATTATCATTGCAATAAATCGCATCTATAAATATAGTACAAAATAAAAATTAGGCTCGATATCAATAAGTGAATTAATTTTCTTGATATAGTAAATTTGCTTTCTAATAGACCTAATTGATTGAAATTACTATTCACTTCATCTTTTGTATCATTAATTATATCAGGTGATTCTGCAATGTACTAACTAGAGAGCAATTGTTTTAATAAAAACAATTCATATCATAAATTAGTTCTAGAACATGTTCATCTCACTCACCATCAAGCCAGAAATGTAATGCCTGAAGCATATTATAATGTTTTAAAAGATCAAGATCAATATTCTTTTTGTTTGTATATGGTACAAAATTTTTGAATAATCTATGCATAGACTCTTTGATACTACAAGCCATGTTAACTAAAGTTTTATAATTCTTGGCATTTGCAATCAGATATGCATTAATATAAAGATTTGGAAGCAAGAGAAATGATTCCAGAAATAACTAAAAATAGTTATAATATAATAATAGGTTTAGAAAGAAGTATGTATTAGGATACTAGGCCTTTTATATCAAAAAAATTACGAAATCCTGACCCTACAATTATAGGACCCTAGTATATCAAAATATTTTATATATATATATATTTGGAATTAAAAATAAGTATTCTAATATTTCATGTTGAAAACTTAAAGATCAAAAGTTAGTTACATATAGTAAAATATTTGCCAGAATTTTTTTGACATAAGAGTGCTGACACAAGATTGATTTTCAGTACATAATTATCATAATTAGCCAGATACTTGTTTTGTTATATCTCTTATTCTAATTAATTTTCTTTACTAGATACTAATACCTAATATAGATTCTAGTCTAACTAAAAATAAAAGAGAGTGACAATGACAAAGTCATAAACAATTCCTATTAAATATTAATTTCTATACTAATACTATACTATACTTACATTAATATCACTGAGTTTCAAGCTTTTACATAACTTAAAATTGATTCTATACCAGAGCTAAAATGACACATAGTAAATGCTGGATATTCAATATATGTTATTCTTGATTCACATTAAATTAAAATTTTATTGATCGAATATTAAATATTTCTACTAATAATTTTTAAGCATCGAAAAAGATACTTTAAATAATAAGCAATGATGCAATAAATGACTAGCATTTATTATGTATTGCCTTAGCCCTGTTCTGTACATTATCAATTTCACATAAATGTATAAATAAATAAATAAATAACTTTGTTAAATGATAATACTCTTTTTGTAATATCTTGGATAAAGTTTCAAAATGATCATCAGAAAATATGATAGCAAATGATTGTTTTACAGAAAAAGAAAGTGACACCCAACACTTTATAATCATACTGATCATCTGTTCTCAACGTTGACACTCTATTGTATTCATAAAATTAATAAACATACCGTCTTTAATTTGTTGAATTCTTAGGAAGTGACTCAGAATATGTGGTATTAACATAGCAAAGTGAAACAAGTCTGACATCATGAAACTTTTCTGGTGAGTAATAGGATTCGGTAATTTTGACCAAAACTTTGGTAATTTTAATAATTTCTCAATTTTTACAAATGCATTAGTTTTTTCTTCATTAAAAAGAGCTAGTATATATTCTATTAGTCTTTTTACTTTTCTGGCCATCACATAGTAAAGATCTTGTGGGCATTGTTGATGCCAATCACGGTATAGTCGATCTAAAATGTTCTTAGACACAGACCATACCTTTTAGCAACTCTCATTTGATTTGTTAAATTTTTCTGAAATTGAATTTCAGAGAATTGCATATCTGTAATATGATGATAACGTGAAAATCATATAATATCTAGTTATGATTTGTCAATTCTTGTATTTCCACTTCACAACTTCTACACCCACGGTTGGCTCTATGCTGTTTAACCCCACAGAGGTCATCTCCCTGTGGCAAATTAGCAGTAACCACTTCTAGGCCACCTTTAACAAAAACTTCTTCTCCATTATATATAGTCATCTTAATACTATCTTGTAGCTATTGCATATCCACTATAAATAATTCTATAAAATCTGCAAATTTAATACTAAAAGGCACAAATCCTATAGAAAAATGATTTTTCAACATTTTTTGCAGACAAAATAGCATATTTCTGAATTGAATATAAATGCTGCTAAGGGAATGATAAATGTTTCAAAAAGTTCCAAAATCGTTATAATATAAATTGATAAAAATTTGCAAATATTGAAGACTAGATAGTATTAAAGGTAGCTTTATATATTCACTTAGATGCCAATGCTGATATTGCAC